CCTATAGTTAACTAGTTCAACATTACACCATTTCCTGTTGTGGTTTGTCCGTCATTCTTAAAGAGGATCATGACATCAGGAAGCTGATGCCATGACTTGCAAATCAGTTGGATTTAAGTGAGGGAAGGCTGTGCAAAGTCATCAGCCTCACTTTCTCCCCCAGAGCCATCTGGGTCCAGTAGCCAGATAACGGCCATCTCTCATGCCTAGAATATGCTATGTCCTCATCTTTGCCTCTTAGAAATGCCTTACTTTCTTCATGAGTTAAGCTCAAACAATGCTTTCAACACAAAACTTTTCCTGACCCCCAACCACAACTGCTAGTGAGATATTTACATGTTTATATATGTAATATTTACACATATATACTTACATACATGTGTACATACATAATTATATACAGAGAGAAAGAAAGAAAGAGAATCTCTCATCCTGATAGAATGTAATCTCATAGAGAGTAGGAGAAGTTTTGGCTTTTTACACTAGACCAGGGGTGGGGAACCTGCTCTAGACGATAAACAGATGCTCTTTGACTGTTGATTAAATCTCTTACTCCCTTTTCCTATGGCTATTCATGTCTTGCCATACCCCAACGCTGAATTATTCCCACAAACCACTTCCTCTACTCCTGATCACTGGAGGAAGTCACACCAAATACAAACTTATATTATCAAATCTCAGCTGCAGAAAGGCATTCCTTTTGTTCCTCTCTAATTGATTTCATTCCCCACAGCAGGTGTCCCAAACCTATTCTTTTCTCAAACCTCTCATACCACCATTTCCAAACCCTTTCACAAAGGACCTCCCCTCTTCTTTCTCTGAGAAAATAGGAGCTACTCGTTCACCATGAACTCCCTCTTCTCCCTTTCACTATGTCTCAAAAGCCCTTGACATCTCCCATTCTCACCTCATTTATTCCACTTTCTGATACAGAAAGATGGGCCTTCTCACCAAACTAACTCTTCTATATATATACCTGTTGTCAGAGAACAAGCTCTGGACTGAAAACATTAAGAAAGAAGTTTATTAACTCATCCAGTGGAGAAGGGGAGGGGGGGCAAAAAAGGGGTAGCCCACTCCCCACAAGTCTTTATAAGTTGTACATTGTACAGAGTTCAAAGGCACAAGGAAACAGTAGCTGATTGGCCAAGAAAGAGGCAGTTTCTAATAAGGAATGTAGGTTGCTTGAGATGTGTAATGGGAGGAAACTCCTTACATTCATTCCATCAGTCTTCAGCTCTGGCTCCCCTGGCAGGTTTTTATTTGTTCTGTTTTGCTTGAGGGGGAGGGTCAGCATAACCTGGAGTCCTGAGTTAAGCATTAAACCGGTCTGGTCTCTAAGCAATAAGTCTTGTCTCATAAGCAATTCAGGGCTAGGTTCAAACAGTGCAATAACATTTTCCCACATACCCTTAATCATATCCCCTCTGATCTCCACAACCTTTCTCTGTCTCATTTGGAATATTCTAGTTAGTTCCCTGCTGCTGACAAATCCATCTAGATCTCCCCAGTCTGTTCTTGACCCTACAATCCCTTCAAGCTATCACTCTACATATCTTCTCCTTTCCTCAACCAAACCCCTCAAAAAATGCTGTCTTCTCTTTGCTTCCATTTCCTCTCCTCTCATTCACATCTCAGTCCTTTGCCGAAAATGCAGCTTCCAACCTCATTATTCAAATCAAGGCCAGTCATCTTAACCTTTGTCTATCAGCCAGGGGCTCGAGGCCACACGTGGCCCTCCAGGTCCTCAAGTGTGGTCCTTTGATTGAATCCATACTTCACAGAACAAATCCCCTTAGAGATTACTCAGGCTGAACTTGAGGACCTAGAGGGCCTTATGTGGTCTCGAGGCTGCAGGTTCCCACGCCTGGTCTAGCCACTGGACTCGATGACTCTGGAGGAGATCCAGGCTGAAAACTTTGTGAAGCTCTGCCTCACTCAAATCCAACTCATGTGCAAATCAATGCATCATGTCTTCTAGGAGAAGGAAGGCTAATGGCCTTTTCTCAGTCTTCATCCTTATTGACATCCTTATTGACATCCTTACGGTATTAAACGCTGTTGACCATTCCTTCCTCTTGAATACGTTATCCTTTCTGGGTTTTTGTAGCACTGCTCACCCTTGATTCTCCTCCTTTGTAGCTGGCTGATCCTTCACAGCCTCCTTTCCTGAAATCATCATCTATATTATTACCCCCTAACTACTTTGGGTGTAGTCCAAGGCTCTAGCCTGGGTTTCTTCCCTCTTTCTCTCTTGGTTACCTCATCAAATCCTGTGAGTTTAGTGATCATATCTATGTATATCTATGATGACGACTCCCAGATCTATATATTCAGCCCCAGTCTCTCACCTGAACTCCAATCCCAGATCGACAACTTCCTATTAGACATTTTGAACTGGATGTCCCACAGGCATTTCAAACGCAACATGTCCAGAACAGAAGTCATTCTCTTTTCCCCAAAATCCACTCCTTTTCTGAACTTTCTTATTTTTGTTGAGGGTACTATCATCCTTTTAGATGTGTTAACTTGGAATTGCCCAATGACAGGATCAAATGATATAACATTATAAAGCATCTTGCAAAGTATTACATGTTGGATATTATTAATGCTATTATTATTATTATTATCCTTGATTCCTCATTCTCCCTTGTTCCACATAGTCAATTGCCAAATCTTGTCAATTCTGCTTCTATATCCTTCACACAGGTTACCTTTCTCTACTCAGGCTGCTATCACCCTAGTTCAGGCACTCATCACCTCTTAACCTGGAATATTTCAATTATCTCCTAATTAGTCTTCCTGCTCCAAGTTTCTCTCCACCCCTCACCTCCAATACACATCCAGGAAGCTTCCAAAGGGGCATTTCAACTATGTCACTCTCCTGCTCAGGAAACTCCATTGATTTCTTATTTCCTCTAAGATCAAATATTAGCTCCTGTCAGGCATTTATAGCCACTTCACAGTCAGCCTCTTATCTACCTTTCCAATCTTATCATACTTACTTCTCTTCACATATTCTATGGTCCCACCAAATGAACTTCTTGCTGTACAGGACGGGGTCGTCTGGAATGAATTCACAGACTCAAGCATTCTTTAAGCGAAGGTGGCAAAGACTTATTGTTACACTTTTCAGCAGGCAAGGATTCTTAAGGAACCTGTGAGAAGACTGAGGATGGAGCTAGGGTTTATATGGAAAAGGGCATGGTAAAGGAATGCCAGGGGTACTGATTAGGTAATCCAAAGGTCCAGGTGTCTTTGGGAGCTATGGATGGGAACGTACAGGGAGTATACCAGACAGGGAGGGAGATGACAGAGGTATAGATCTTGGGAGTCTGGCAGGAGGAAGAGTCCTTGAGCCAGCCAAGGACAAAATTCCTTGGGCTGGGCGAGGCATCCCTCTCTCTCTCTGTCTTGATGAGAGAATGCGCTGCAACAAGGGAAAGCTTTCTCACAAGACAGGAACTTACTAAGGAATTGGGAGGCTTCCAGAGACATGATCTGAGGGTTGGGGCCTGAGCAGCCCAGCACTCTCTCACTCAGCTTTGTGCAGCTGCAGCAGGGATAGAGATAAGGGTCTTGCTGGCGCCCACGCATGAGTAATCGCTAGGTACAGTGTCTTTGGGCTGGGGAGTGATTGTCAGAGACAGTGTTTCTAAGAGTAGGGAGAAATTAGGGTCCAAGTACAAGCACAAGCACCCCATCATTCCCCACATATAATACTCCATCTCCTACTCCATGCTGTTGTATAGACTGTCTCCCGTGCCTAGGATGTACTTCCTTTTTTTTATATCTTAGGGGATAGAGTTCTACAAATGTAATTATTGAGTCAAAAGGTACATTCAGTTTTGTAATTCTTATTGCATGTTGCCATATTGCTCTTCAAAATGTTTATGCAAGTCATAACTCTATCAAAAATGTGCTACAGTACCAGTTGTCCCACAGTCCAGCCAACAATGGACTTAGTATTTATAAACCAATCCAAGTAATGCTAGTTGGCATCATTTTTGCTGTTTCTGTCCCCTGTGTCAGAAACACCCTGATAAATTTTTAGTATTGGCTTAATATAGAATTTAACAAAGCAACAAAAGTTACTTCAGATAAATGTTAGTACAACCACCGAAAATTTCTGTCCATTATAATTAAGTACTGAAAGCAATATTTAATTAGATAAAATGTCTTCCTGGTCTTCAGAGAGCTCACAGTCTAGTATGGGGATAAATCATCAACAGAAACAGCTATAATACACGATTTCAATCAACAGATATTTTTTAAAATAAAGTTTTTTGATATCTTTTTTTTACATTGCTTAAATTTCCTTCTATATCCCTTCTCCCCTTCCTCCCAGAGACCACCCCAAATAACACAGAATATTTTTAAAAGAAAAAAGACAAAAAGAGAATCAGCAAAAATTATCAATATAATCAAAAAGCCCCTTAATAAAATACAATGAATGTTCTACACTTGCGCACCTCCTACCTCTACAGAGGACCACAGGAAGGCCTTTTCTCATATCTCTTCTTTGGGGCCACGATTTCAATAAGTATTTATTAAGTGCTTTCTATGTGCAGGGCGCTGGGCTAAGCACTAGGGGCAATAAGAAAAAACCAACCTCTTTATCCTCATGGAATTTGCATTCTAATGAGGAAGACACATGTACATAAATAGATATTTAGAAGATAAATATATAGTATTAATATAGTTAGCATTTACATAGCACTTGAAGGATTGCAAAGTACTTTACACATGATCTCTTATTCAATCCCCACAACAATACTACAATGTAGGTATGATTATCATCTCCATTTTACAGATGAAAACACTGAGGCTGAGAGGTCACACAGCTAGTGTCTGCGATAGTATTTGATCTATCCACTGCCCCACCTGACCACATCAATGCAGAGTACATACAAAGTAACCAAAGAAGGAAAAGCACTAATGTTGAGGATTAGAATTGGGAGAGCTGGTTCAGGTGTGAAAGAATTCACTTAGACCTTCTCTGTAACCATTGGGAGCTTTATTGATGCAAAAGCAGGGGGCTAGCTCTAGAAAGAGAGCTAGCAAATTTTACAGAGGGATAGGGGTCTACTTTATCTTACAAGATATCTTACATGACACAGAATGAGGAAGATGGATGGCAGAATAAGGACTCGGGATAAGGAAGATGGGAAATTTTATGACTCAGGATGAGGGAGACAAGGAAGTTTTATGGTCCAGGATAGGGGGGAAGTTTTATGGTATCTCAAGATAAGGGAAAGAGACTCTACGACGCCTTCAAGTTCCGGAGGGGTCTCACAAGGAGCTGGAAAAACAACTGTTAATTAAAATTTGTTTCTTTAAAAAGCTTTTAGCTTTTAGGGCACTATATGTCTTCTACTTCACTAACAGCTGGGGCCTCCAGGAAAGGCCTCCTCCTACAGGTGATTTTTGAGCTGAGTCTTGAAGAAAGCAAGGGAAATTGGAGGTGGAAGTGAGGAGAGAGAAAACTCCAGGCATGGGGACCACTGGTGAAAAAGAAGAGATGGAAGACATAGCATCATAGGTGAGGAACAGCAAGCAGACCGGTATGTCTGGACCACAGAGTGTATGGAGGGGAGAAACGTGTAAGAAATCTGGAAGAATAAGAAGAGACCATGTTGTGAAGAGCTTTAAATGCCAAATAGAGGAATTTGAGTTTATATTTGATTCTGGAGAAAATAAGGTTATTGAGCAGGGAATAACCCAGTATCACATGAAAAGTACATTAAGAGAGTTTTAAAATAGAGTGCTATGCGAGATGGGAGAGAGAACATTACTGCTAATATTCCAGGCACCAAGGGAAAGTTGGGGAAAATCATTGAGATGTGGCTGGTCAGGGAGGCAAGTGGGTAATTCAGCTTGGCTAGAACACACAACGCATGGAGGGAAGCAACAGGAGGTGAGGCTGAAAAGGGAAGGTAATAGTATAATGTGGAGGGTTTTGAATATTAGAAAGGGGAGTTTAAACTTCACTAGGGAGGAAATAGGGAGCCACTGAAGATTTTTGAGGAGAGTACATGACCAGATTATTCTAGCATTATGAGAAACCGACTGGAGGGGGAAAGGGTGGAGGTGGGAAAGCCTGACAGGAGGTAAAGGAAGTAAAGCAGCTCGAAGATAATGTGGGCTTGTGCTTGAGACGTGGCAGAGGAAATTGGGAGCATGAGTTGCATTAGAGGGATATGTTAAAGTTGCAATCAACTGGACCTGGTGACTGATTTGATAGGGGAGGAAAGAGTTGGGGGAAAAAGCTTGGAAAGCTACTTACTGCCTCCCAAGGCAGACCATCTCACTTTGGGACAACTCTTAATCATTAAGAATTTTTTTCCAACATCAAGCCTCAATTTGTCTCTTTACAAATTATACTCATTGCTTTTGACTCTCCAAGGCCAAATGGAACAATTTGACAACTTTAGAAGACAGTGCCACTATTATCTCCATTTTACAGATGAGGAACAGGCATAAAGAAGTGTGTGTAAGAATATTAAGGTCTATCAGGGACCATCATTTCCCAGTCTGCCCAACTTCTACATATTTATTAAATTTATTATGCAGCCCCCAAACCTTTTTATATACAAATGAGACTCCTGTTGACCTGCCTCCCTCCCTTGGCAGTACTAAGACTCAGTGCCCTCAATCCCTTGTCCCACCACACAGAGCTATGTGCTCCGTACTTGGAGCCCTTTGCACATGGTGGCATGAAAAAATCTGCTAGAGGTGGGCATGGTTCCTGAAGCCCATTGTCCAGTTATTCGTGACATGTTACTTGATTTCAGACTTCAATCCTCGTTCTATTCCATCTTACCCAGATGAAGAGTTTAGTGTGGAAGCCCAGTCTGGCCCTGATGAGGGGGGACCAAAATCATTTCAGTTACATTACAGCCTCCTGAGGTACCTCTCATCCTACCTGCTCCTTCTGTACTAATATCATCTGACCCCAGGCCCTGGACCAGTCCTCCCTTCCCAGACCACCCAAGTCCTATATTTGGTCTGGGTGTTGGGAGACTTTCCTCCTCCACATTTGGGACTGCAGGAATTGGAATAAGAGATTAGAAGAGAGGTCTGTGTTTTTATTGCTTTGTATTGTAATATACATGAGTTTTTATTGAATTTCAACAACTTTGGGGGAAATAATGCCGATGCCTTTTAGCTTTCAAATTCTACTTGTATGCAATACTGGAGTGCAATATTATCAGAATGTGTTGTAAAACTGGAAAAAATCTGGAAGCTACTTTGTTGCAGGAAATTTCTAGCTTCCTAATTTCGTTTACTTTTTCAGAGCAGTTGAAATGCATCCAGTACCGAGTAGCTAATATTACAATTTACAAATTCTTACTTTTCTTCCTGGGTGCCCACTATTTTGCGATTTTACTTTAAGAAGGCAAGAAGAGATAAAACTCAATTTTACTCTGACAAAAAAGTAAAACCTAAAGCTCAGTTAAAATCATGTTTTTAGATTACTTCAGCCACCCCAGTCAACCATGAATATATCTGAACTTTTAGTATTCATTATCATATTAATGGATTTATAAGTGGTTTTATATTCACAAAGTACTATCATAACAGCTATTTCTAGGTTCACAGAGATAACAGAACTCGAAATTCTTTCAAATCGTGAATCTGACACACAAAAGACCAAAGAGGGGAAAAAAGAGGTCTGAATTCAGTCCACTCAAGTTTTTTTTTCTTGGGAAAGTTATTCCAAATTGTATAGTTTTAAAATAAATATTTGCTTCATGATACTTTACTGATTAAATTTTTATGAATACAAACTACAAATAACTTGAAAAAACTTTACTCAAATTATGATTAAACTCACTTTAAAATTATTTAAATGTTAATTACAAACTCTAACATGCTATGGGGCATTTTCTCTGGCTCAAAATATAACCTTATTTGTGCATGTCCAACAAAAATAAAAATGAAAAGAAGAGAACTGATTGCAACCTAACTTAGATATATTTAGTTCTCTTCAGTAAAGTGTCAACTGCACTCTATTTTTAAAAAGTAAATCTGTGGATTCAGCTTAAGCCATTAGGCAACACTTCACCTGTTTTGTTCACTAGTTGTTAAGAACTTATGTTTGAAAAAAAAATTCCCACCTTATAAATGTATAAGGTCATGATCAGACAAATTTATATTTCTATACAAGTTTCAAGAGTATCAAGCAAGACAATGCCATACAATTTTTGGATACATAACCCCACCCCACCCCCAAAAGTTTGTACAACAAAATTTAAAAGACTTCATGGCCTTTCATTCATTTCATCAATTAAGATACACAAAGCAGCATCTTTCTCTATAATCTGGTCTCTTCTGTGACTAGAATTTTCTCGATGCTCATTTTGTCCAATACAATTTTTGCTGTCATCAGTATCCATTGGCTCAGTTTTTAACCTCATTCCTCCTTCTGTATGAGGCAAATCATCTGGTAAAGAAGCCAGGCAATTCTGGATCATTTCAATAACTCGTTCCAAGTGCTTCTGAAATCTTTCTGCTGTTTCAAGGCGCTGCCTTTTCTGTACCTCCATCATGACTCTGAGCGTCTCCCTTGCTTGGTGGGGTCGGTATTCATTTATAAGATGATGCACATGGACAAAAAGCAGCTTTAGGTCTTCTAGCTTTTCCTCTCGTTTTATGCTTCCAGGACTCCTAATCAAAATATCTAGAAGATCTAAAAAGTTAATAAGAATAGACATATTGAGTTTTCTTAGTTCTTTCTTATGATCAAACTGCATAGGGTGAAGTCGTTCAATGCCCTGACTTTCCAAAGGGCGGATGATAAGGTCATCACACTGGAACTGATTGCCAAACATCATATAACTGTCCTTTATTGGAGGTGGAGGCTTAGGAGCTAGACCTTTCCGGATGTTTTCATCTGTATATTCCTTGATGTACTGCATTGGTGGTGGAGGGAGTGCACTCACTTGCTGAGGTTCACCCATTTTGAAAGATCCAAGTACCTACGAATATGTAACAAAGATCAGATCAGAGTCACAAACTACTTACTGTCTCAACAGAGAAGAATAAAATGTGACAGAGATATCAATGCAAATAATTTCTTTTGGCCTTTTTTTTGGAAGCATGGGGACCAGAAGAAAGAATCTTTCATTACCAGATGTTCCTTGTGTACAAAAGGGAAGGAGTGGTTGAAAAAGTAGGGGCTTTCTTCCCGGGTTCCTTTTTTAACCAGCCATTCTTCGATGCTCAACACTCCTGGGCCAATTTTTTTTAACTCCACTACCCTGTCTAAAATAGTCCACTAAACAACTGAAATGGCAAGGATGGATTCAATTTGAAGTAGAATGACAGGCAAACTCTATCAACATTGACACAATCTTCTCCTTCATTTTCCCAAAGTATTTCTTAATCAAAAGGCTCCAAGGCCACAATTTAAGGTATTATTATATGAGTGAAAGAGTCGAGCAAGAGTCCCAATTAGGATTCATTCATTAAACACATATTGAGCCCCTTATTCTGAACAAGATAGCCCTTCTCCAATATGTACTTATTAGTACCTATAATATGTCAGACACATTGCTTGGTGCTAGGGGTACAGAGATATAATCTCTGCCCTCAAAGGGCTTATTTATACTTTCTAACAGGAAAATACAAGGTATATATAATTTAGGGATAGGTAAGAAGAGAGAAAAAGGTACTACCAGCTGCAGATACCAGGAAAGGTCTCATGTAGAAGATGGTGACTGAACTGAACTCTGAAGGAAACTAGGGATTCTATGAAGCAGAGTGAGAAGGCAGTACATTCCAGGTATGAAGACACAAGATGGAAGATGGAACAGAAAGTAAGCCAGTGTAGGGACTATAAAGTATGTAAACAGAGGTAATAAGTTTGGAAAGGTAGGCTGGAGTCAGATTACAAAGAGTTTTAAATTCCAAAGAGAGAAGTTTGGATTTGATCCTAGGGGCAATAAGGGGCCAAATGAAGCTTGAGCAGGGGAGTGATATGATCTCCACTTTAAGAATATCCCTTTGACAGTTGTGTAAAGAATGAATTGGAAAGGGGGAAGATATTTGAGGCAAGAAAACTAATTAGCAAGCTATTATAATCATTCAGGTAAGACAGAATGAACTGCTGAACTAATGATAGGCCAGATGAGAAAAGGGATGGATCTGAGAGATGTGTAAAGAGGGAAAAAACAAAGCAAAACAACTGACTAGATGCGAAAAGGCAACTCAGAATCATAGATTCATACATCTAGAACTGTAAGAGATTTGAGAGGCCATCTTCAGAGCCATCTAGGCCAATCTCCTCATTTTATAGATAGAATAAAGCCAAGAAAGTGAAGTGATTTATCAAAGAGCATATTGAGGCAATGAAGTGTTGAGAATAACTAAGAGGTTGTGAACCTTATGATTGGTGGTACCTTCAACAAAAATAGGGAAGCAAGTTAAGTTTGGGGAAAGATAAAGAATTCTGTTCTGGATATATTTAGTTTGAGGTGCCTATAGAATAATATCCAAGTTAGAAATGTCCGATAACCAGCTGGTAATTCTAGAATAAAGAATTCTAGAGAAGTTCCCTGACAGCAAAGGATTTTCTTTTTTTTTTTTTGTCTCTGTATCACACTAGCATCTGGTGATTAGTTCAGTGCTTCGAACATAAAAGGCTCTTAATGATCTCCTGTCAGGTATATTATAACGGGACTTCGGGGAATGAGTTGGACTAGATAGCCACTGAGGCCACCAGGTCCAAAGTTGAAATTTTCTTGAATCAAAATCAATCAAAATCCTAGTAATATATGAATTCGTATATGTGTATATGAAAAGGAAATAATGGAAGTTATGAAAAGAAGGAATCATTATTTTTTGTTTTTTTTTTTTTTTAGGATGGGGGAAAGGGATGAAGGTGGCTTTGAATGAGGATACAGAGGATAATATAGTGCTAGCTTGTGCTGGTTCAGCCTATGTAACTTGAAGAGTAGAGGCAGTGGACTCACTATTAGAATACACAGGTTCAAGGCCCTGGACTGCCACCTACCATTTGTGAGTCTTCACTCACCACAGCTCCTTATGACTACAAGGTAATGGCCTGAAAGCATCCTCAACCAGGATGATAAATTTTCTCACTGTCCCAAAAATAACATACCAATTCTAGTTCCCCTCATCTAGAATTCCTTGTCTCCTTACCAATTAGCCAAATAAATCCTATCTAGATAGAGTCTTACCTCTAAACGACAAGACAGGGCATAGTGGTAAAACCACTACCTTGCAAATTAAAAACAAACAAAAAACCTCCTAGGTTGTAATCCCAATTGTGCCTGTGTGATTTTAAAAAAAGTTGCTTTAAATATCACGAAGCTAAAGTTTCATACATAAAATAAGGGTTTTTGCAGTCAAGAGAATTAAACAGTTTTCATATCCTACAGCCACGGCTTTTCCAAAGACTGTCTCTCAAGGAGGGAGACACACACACACACACAACTATACATAAACAAGAGATGCACGGGGGGAAATGGTGCTGATCGGCAGCGGGAAAGCATTCGCATTAAAAGGCAGGGGGCAAGGCTCGCCGTGCAAGGTGGAGTTTAGATAGATCCGAGGGCCAGCACGCAAGGATGAGGAGGGGCAGCACTGCGGGCACGGGGAGTGAAAACGCACAAGATCACAAAACCTTCTAGGAGCCTCACTTTCCTCAGCTGGCCAGGAGAGACAAACCCCCAGGAAGGGGGGTGGGACACACCTCCCACGCACCGTCTACCGCTCCCAGAGGCCTCGGGGAGGCCGGCCTGCCTCCCACGGGGAGGGGCCGGGACCCCCGCCCCAGCAGGGGGCCGCGGAGGGGCGGGTAAACTGGCGGGAGGGGCGGGGATTTGTTTACAGGAGAGGGAAGGGGCGAGCACCCCGAGGGTCCTCCCAACAGCCAGGAGCCCGCGGCAAAACCGGTCCTTTCCCCGGCCGCCGCCCCTGGAAACCCAGCCGAGGAATCCCCCGGGAGAAAAAAAACGTGCCGAGATCCCACATCCCAAACCGAAATTGGCACTCACCTCCCACTACGCCAAGCAGTCTCTAGACCGTCGCGGATAAACCGCGTCTATGGCCGCCGACTTCCGGCCGCCTTAGCCAGGAAGAAGGGGGGGGCCCCTCCCCGTGCCCTTGATGGAGCGCCTTCTGATTGGCTGCCGGGGCCGTCCGTTAAAGCACTAACCCTCCCCACACACTTTCTGTTTAGGAGCGGGCTCTGCTCGCGGCTTGCCGCGCTCTTACGCTTGCGCATGCTCTCTGTGACTTTTGCGGGGCTTTGAGAGTTCTTTAGGGGCATTTTTCCAGTGAGAGGCGAATAAGAAACGTTCTGTCAAAAGTCACAGCTGATGTCGCTGCTCGTATTTAAAATCAGGAAGAAAAATAATTGGGGAATAATGGGAAGGTGATACTTTAAAAAAAATTCTCTAACAGTAATTGTTCATGTAGCTCTCAAGCTTGGTATGCACTTGACACACATCAAACTCCTTTGAATTCTATTGAGACCCGTGAGAGGCGGGTCCAGCAGCCACTATTCTCCCCATTTTATGGATGAGAGATCAAAGTCAGAAAAATTAAGTGAGTTGCCAGTGTTCACACATTTGGTGCCAAAGGCAGAATTAGACCGCAGCTTTTTGACTCAGAAATTCGACAGTCCTATGAATTAAAGTTATACTCAGCTCTCAGAATGGGCTCCTATAGATAGGTTGAGGTCTGAGAGGTTGAGACCCCTCAAAGACCAGAGTACAGGACAGGGTCGTCTGGAATGAATTCACAGACTCAAGCACTTCTTTAAGTCAAGTTGGCAAAAAAGTTTATTGTTACGCTTTTCAGTGGTCAAGGATTTTTAAGGAACCTGTGAAAAGACTGAGGATGGAGCTAGGGTTTATATGGAAAAGGGCATGGGAAAGGAATGCCAGGGGTACTGATTAGGTAATCCAAAGGTCCAGGTGTCTTTAGGAGTTATGGATGGGAAAGTGTAGGGAGTATACCAGACAGGGAGGGAGTTGTCAGAGGCTTGGATCTTGGGAGTCTGGCAGGAGGAAGAGTCCTTAAGCCAGCCAAGGATAAACCTCCTTGGACCAGACAAGACACCCCTCTCTTCTCTGTCCTGATTAGCAACAAGGAAAAGTTTTCTCATAAGACAGGAGCTTACTTAGGAATTGGGAGGCTTCCAGAGACATGATCTTAGGGCTGGGGGCAGTCCAGCACTCTCTCACCCAGCTTTGTGTAGCTGCACCAGGGAGAGAGATAAGGGTCTTGCTGGGACCCACTCATGAGTAATTGCTAGGCACAGTGTCCTTGGGCTGGGGAGAAATTGTCAGAGACAGTGTTTCTGAGACTAGAGAGAAATTGGGGTCCAAGTACAAGCACAAGCACCCAAACACAAGTACCCTATCAGATGCAGATTGTAATTCCTCATATATGTGGTCTCTGTCTTCAAGGCAGGGTGCAGTGGTTCAGTGGTTAAAGCAGGCCTGGAGTCAGGAAGATCTGGCTTCAGACACTAACTGGGCAACCCTGGGCAAGTCACTTAACCTCTATCTCAATTTCCTCATCTGTAAAATGAAGTTATTAATAGCATCTACCTACCTGGGTTGTTGTGAGGATCCAATGACGTACTTGTGGGGTACTTAGCACAGTGCCTGGCACATAGTAAACTATATAAATTTTAACTACTAATATTATACAATCCATTAGGTACCATTAGTGGTTTAAAAACCCACTGGTCCAGTGAGTAGTATATTAAGTTATCCTAGGGGGTCACAAAACATTTTTTTTTTGTTGTTCCTGTTGTAAAGGGTTCTCAGAATAAAAAAAAATGAGAACTACAATAGGAGAAGATGACTACAAAAATAAAATGCAATCAGATAATGGTGGTGGATCCAAAAAGATTGCACAGGCTAGAAAAACAGGGAAATTTAATAGGGGATAAAAATGTAGTACCCTAGGGGCAGTCAGTCAACAAAGCTGAGAGAAATGATTATCAATAACCAAGGATTTGGGGAGATCCCCTCTTTTTACTAAAGTCCTGATTTTAAAAGTCCAGTCTTTCAAAAGAGGTTACTGATAATGAGATTAGACTAACTTTCCCGTTCAAACCCCACCCAGTTGGACAAAAGCCATTTTTTACTGCTCAGGCTTAGGTGGGGAATAAATTCTTTGAATAGATTGCCCATCATTATGCCCTTAAGAAATAAATTATATAATCAAAGTTCCTGGGTGAGCCCCTCATTTAATCTTCATTCTCTCTTAAATTGTTAGCTAATCAAGAATTGACTGCTACCCTAGGAAACATTCCTGTTCCAATGGACATACAAGCTTGAACTGCAGCCATGATTATCTTTAGTCTAAGAGAAAGAGGCAAATGACCATCCTTTTGCTATAAATATGCTGGCATTATTAACAAAATGATTAAATTACCCAGAAATTATGTCTCTCAGACTTAGTCAATGCTAGGAACTATGCTACGCAGCAGACACACAAAGAAAGGCAAAAACCCCGTCCCTGCCCTCCAGGAGAGGATGGCACCACAGAAGTTTCAAGCTGAATTCCTAGGACTATGGCTAACAAACCCTCAACAATGTACTTACTTTCAATAGTCACCCAGAGTATACAATAAGCATTTGCTGAAATGTAATAAAAAAAAGTGGCAACTAAACATTTCCATAAATGAACAGGTCAAACTCTCCCACAAAGAGCCACTGACAATGGGAAAAAGAGGAAATACAAATAGAAATCACGAGTCAAAAAGTTCATGTAGGAAACATGTGTGAGACCAAGGCACCCATAGGGAAGTGAAGCCGAAGTACACACAAGGAAAGGAAATTTACCTCTCTAACAGCACGCTGCTCTGTTTGTTTCTGAGGTGCTCCTGCTGATGTTGGTCTTAAAGAAGTCTCTACTGGTTGCTGTTGGACTGTGCTAGATGCTGCTTTTCTGTGCCTTTTCCTACTGGTCACTGTTGAACACTGCTTAACTGCAACTTTCACCTTCTCCAGCCCCTGAATCAAAAAAGGAGGTACTTTGCAAACCTTAAATTGTTAGGTTAGTGCTATTGTTATCATTATTCTGGGCTCAAGTGAATGTGCTCTTAGAGAAAAAGCAGGAACCTTTGCCTGAGGATCAGCAAAAAGAATCCCCCGTGCTGCTCCCTTAGAAACCCAGGTCCAAGGCCTGCTATGTTCTGGGTAGGAGAACATAACCCCACATGCCAAGAACAAAGAACCCATGAAGCTAATGATAAGGGTTAGCACTTTGGGCCCCAAATTTTAGTGCCACAGGATTTAGTCCTTAATATTATCCTTATTAAGGCTGTTAATACACTAATATCAACCCCTCTAGAAACAAACCAACAACCTGACTCCGGGTCTTATGTCTCATCCCAGTGCTCATTGCAAGTTTCCTTCCCTCCCTTGATCCCGAGGAGGTGGCATTCTGGTGAGTTTCCATCAACCTGTAGTTTGAGCTGTTCTTGAGAGAGTCTGCAGACTGTCTTAGTTGAGACTCAAGAACAAGGTGAAGGCTAGGGTCTCTAGTGCTGCAGCTTTAATGGTTCTGGTGAAGGGGGTTCCCAAGTTATATCTATGTTCTGATTGGTCATTAGTTCCCCAAGCTGATGATGAAATTATCCATTATAGAACTGCCAATCAAAGCTTTAGTTTCCTAATGTCATTAGCAAGTGTTACCTTGGGACTTTTGGGAGATTTGGGACAGCATACTTAATGCCATTTGCAGGTACTTAACCATTGCTTACCAGATTTGGGGGATACACAGTCATTAATAATCATATAAGTTGTCGTTTGTCCTTTTCTGGAAGAGGACAATAACATCAAAAAGGTGATGCCATGACTTGCAAGTGAATTAGATTTAAATGAGGGAGAGCTGTGCAAGGTGACGAGCCTCACTTTCTCCTTCAGAGCCATCTGGGTCCAGTGGCAAGATGCAGATCAGAACTACTGGACATGGCCCCCAATCATTCAACAGATTTGTGGGCCAAGCTATATCACTCAAGTGGTATCTTATTACAGAGAGAACAAAACAGCTTACATATGAACTATTTAGTCGTAAAACAGAGGCTGAAAACCAAATGGAGTTGCTCATCCTAATATATTTATTCCTAATACATCAATATACTTTCAAAAATGTTTCTCTCAGCGAGTTAGGTTATATAAATCAGGTAATGGTTATTATTTGCCTAAAAGTCAATCAATCATTAAACATCTATTAAGCACCTACTATGTGCTTTTCACTGTGCTAATTTCTAGGGAGGAAAAGGAACAAAAGACAGTTCCTGCTTTCAAGGAGCTTACAATCTAATGGGGGAGGCAATATGCATACAAATATATATATATAAAAGCTATATATACAGGATAAATAGGAAATAATTAACAGAGGAAAGGCACTAGAATTAAGAGGTTTAGGAAAGGCTTCCAATAAAATAAAGGACTTTAGTTAAGACTTAAAGGAAGACAGGGAAGTCAATAGGTGAAGCTGAGGAGAGAGAGGTAGTCCCAGTGAAGACTTTAGAAGAAACTGAAGGTATGCAAAGTCTAAAAGACAAAGTCATGCCCCATCCTAGAAAGTGTAGGAGGTGTATGAATTCCTTAATTTAATTTGAAGAGTCTTCTCAGAAACAATGAGTGGGCCTTAGACTAGTTTCACTTTTATCCCTAGCTACTCATCCACTTAAGATTCCCGAAGGTATAGGGGAAGTGAAAATGACTGAAATGAAACTAATCATCATAAGGCTAAGCAGAGGAGTGGAAAGAGACATTTAAGTGTGGAAGAATTTGATCAAAGGTTAAGCTTTGGTGCCCTAACTGGAAGAGTTCAGTAAATTTCAAGAGTCTTCATGCCCTGGATCCAGATACCCTGCTCCCTCTTAGTTTCTTTTTGTGTGTCATCTTCCCCCTTTGGATTGTGAGCTCCTTAAGGGCAGGAATTGTCTTTTTCCTTTCTTTGTATCCTCCTCCATGCAAACACTTAGTCCAGTGCCTGGCACATAGTAGTTGCTTAATAAATGTTTATTGACTAACTGATAATGAGGAGCCGTCTTACTCAGCTGCATATAGTTCACAATACCACATCTATACTGCTAGCC